AATACCCGCAGCTACTGCTTGATACCGCCATACCTGCAGAGGACGAGGCCACGGTGGACGATGTGAGGGACATTACGGAAGAGCAGCTGGAAAAGTGGGGGCAGGTGGATTTAGTAGTCGCGGGCTGGGAATGCCAAGGATACTCGAGAGCGGGAGATGGACTGGGCATGGAGGACAGCAAGGGAGCCTTCTTCAGAGACCTGAAGAGGGTGCTGGAAATGCTGCAAAAGAATCAAGGGGAGGTGCTCTATATCCTGGAAAACGTTGACCTAGCAGAGGATCACCGGGAACCTGTCAGGAGAGCCTTCGAGGAGATAGAGGAGGCAGTATGCAGGGGAGTCGCAGCAGACGCTGCCCAGCTGGGATCAAGATCACACCGACCCGAGAGATACTGGCAGAACAGGGTATCAGAGACAAGCCTGAGGCACTCCCTGGCTCAGATGCAGAGGCCAGAGCCTAGGTTGGTGAGTGACATACTGGGACCAGGACGCCTGGCTGCACCAGTGACCTGCCCTGATCACCCGTCGCAGTATCAGTGCAACACGCCAGGAAAGCCACGGCAAGCTCTGCCCACACTGGTCTCATATGCAGGGGCGCGCGGGTTTGTGATGGAGGAAGACAAGCCCGGAACCGGCATGGTATACGATGTGAGGAGTAAGAAACGGGAGGAGCCGACGGCATGAGAAAGAGAATTGGCAATGGGCCACATGTGGGGAGCAACAGCACATCCGCAAGTGACAGAGGAGCAACGCAGGGCGGCGATGGGCCAAGCCATGGACCTAAACGCGATGTGCTGGTTGATAGAAACCATACGTATGCATCTGAAGAGGAAGGATATAGAGAGGGCGATCGAGATAGGAGAAATATACCAAGAGGAGGAGGAGGTGCAGATGCGAAGGCGCCAGCTGGAGCAGATAGAAGAGTAGCAAGAGGAAAGGATACGAGAAGGATGGGCCTACATGGCGCTCTCACGAGTAGGCCCAGCCTCAGGCACGAAGGGAGCGGAGGAAGAAGGAAGGAAGGAGAAGCAAGGAGAAGCAAAGCACAAGGAGAGAACCGAGGAGGAGGACTGGCCGATAGGCGAAGGAATGGGGGCAGTCGCAGCGGAAGCTCGCGAAAGCCCACCCGCAGGCACGGAGGGAGCGGAGGCAGAAGGAGGAAGGAGAAGCAGAGAGAAGCAAAGCACAGGGAGAGAACCGAGGAGGAGGACTGGCCGATAGGCGAAGGAATGGGGGCAGCCGCGGCGGAAGAGCTGCAAGCAGTGCTAAGACAGCACAGAGGGACATTCGCCTACTCGCTGCTGGAGCTGGGGAAATGCAAGACCCATCAGATGCAGATCAAGCTCAACAGCGAGATGCCGATTTACCAGAGAATAAGGAGAATGAGCCCAGGGGACCTTGATATTTGCTTAGAAAAGTGTGCAGAACTGCTGGAGGCGGGTCTGATTCAGAGATCAGAGAGTGACTATGCAGCGGCGACTGTGGTGGCAGCGAGAAAGAACCTGACAGGGGAGGTATCGGCCAGGAGGATGTGTGGAGACTACCGTGGGTTGAACTAGGTCACCCTAGCCGACCGATACCCAATGCAATCCGCTGAGGAAATATTCTACAAGCTGCAGGGCGCCACCGTGTTCACCACCCTCGACCTCAGGCAGGGATTCAACCAAATCCCCATCTGCCCCGAAGACTACAAGAAGACCGCGTTCCATGGGCCTGATGGACTGTACGATTGGAGATTTATGCCGTTCGGCATGAAAAACGCGTCAGCCTTGTCTCAGAGAGTCATGGATTCCACGCTGAGAGACGTGCCTGCAGCTGCTTGCTACATAGATGATGTGGTAGTATTCAGCGCAAATGACCAGCAGCACGTGAAGGATGTGAAGGACACGCTGGAGGTGATCAGCAAGGCGGGGCTAACGTGTCACACGAAGAAGTGCAGCTTTGGAAGCAGCTCGGTTAAGTACCTGGGCTTCGAGGTGCAAGGGGGAAAGATGAGTATCCAGCAGGCGAAGGTGGAGGTGCTGGACAGAGTGCCCCCACCCAAGGACAGGAGTACACTGAGAGCAGTGCTCGGATTTCTGAACTACTACCGCAAATTCATACCCAATTTCAGCCGGACAGCAGCGGTGCTCAACCGACTGCTCAAAGAAGAGCAGGCATGGCAATGGGGAGAGGCGGAGCAAGGGGCAATGGATGCACTGCTGAAGGCAGTGAAGACCGCCACTGTGTTAAGCCTGCCCAGCAAGGAGGACCCCTTTGTACTCTACACCGACAGGAACAGCTCGGGGATGGGGGCAATCCTGTGTCAAGAAAGAGAGGGACACGAGATGGTAGTAGCATTCGCCAGCAGAAGCTGCAACCCGGCGGAGGCCAACTACAGTTCATACGAGGGAGAAGGACTAGCTGCAGTATGGGCAATAAGTCATTTCAGAGTGCACCTGCAGGGGAGACCGTTCGTGCTAGTGACAGACCACCAGCCTCTCACGTGGTTAATGACGAACCAGGCGCTGACAAGGAGGAACGCAAGATGGGCAATGCGCCTCCAAGAGTACGACTTTAGCATCAGGCATCGGCCGGGCAAGACGCTGCAGCACGTAGATGGGCTGTCAAGGAACCCACCCCCCGGCAGGCCAACCGCATGCCTAGCGGTGCTGGCGAGAGAGATAGACGGAGAAGGGGCAAGAAGGAGGCGGGAGAAGGGAGCGGACGACGTCTGGGAGGATAAAGAGGTGCTGGGGTGGGTGCAAGGAAAAACCACTGAAGGAGAGCCGGCGAGCGAGAGAGCCAGAGCAAGAGGAGCCCATTATCGCTGGTACCAAGAGCAGCTGCAGAAGAACACCAAGGACGGATGGAAGCTAGTGCCCAGGAAGGAAGAAAGGGAAGGGATCATAGCCAAAGTGCACAGGCAGATGGGCCACTACGGCAGCCTCCGAACAACGCAGTTGGTAGAGACAGGATGGTGGTGGGCAGGAATGAGACAAGACATCAAAGAATGGGTGACAAGCTGTGAGCTGTGCAGCAGGAACAAGGCTGAGTTAGAAAGGGGGAGAGAAGAGCTGCAGTCGCTGCCAATCAGGGGTATAGGATTCATATGGTCTCTGGACTTGGCAGGAGAGATGCCACTGAGCAGGAGGGGCAAGCGTTATATCCTGATCATGATCGAACACGGAATCAAGTGGGTGGAGGTAAAGGCCCTGTCGAGCAAGAATTCGGCCAGGATAGCAGAGGCGTTTGAGGAGCAAGTACTGACAAGGTTCGGGGCATGTGGGGAGGTACTAACGGACCAAGGCACGGAGTTCATGGGAGAGTTCGAGAAGCTTCTGAAGCAGAGCGGAATCACCCATAGGAGAACCTCCCGCTATCATCCACAGAGTGACGGGCTCACGGAGAGATTCGTGCAGACAGTGAAGAGGGGCTTGAGGGCCTACGGAGAGAGGTTCAAGAGGGACTGGGATACAAGGCTGCCGTGGGTAGTCGTGGGGTACCGCTTCAGCAAACAGGCAGCGCTGAAGGACTACTCTCCCTACTTTCTGCTGCTGGGCCGAGTGCCCGTGCTGCCAGTGGACGCGCCCAAGCTGCTGGGAATAATAGGAGGTTAGACAGTAGGAAGGATGGCGGGAAACCAAACTGATCGAGCGGGAAGAATCGTAGGGCAAATAGTAGCGAAAGCAACGGTGTTAGCAACGGTAACCAGCAGGAAATACTTAGGCAAGGAGCGGGGGTGGAGCAGCTTGGTTGCTCGTTTGTTCTCACATTAAGCATAATTTTGGCCTAGCGAACTTCTAGAGCTAAGCAACCAGTGATGCCAACCCCGCAAGCCACCAGTGAAAGTAGCTGAGCTAGAGAGCCAGCCGAGCTTCAGTTCCCTAGAGCAGTAGATAGCTAAGGCACATCTGGGAACTTTTCAAGTGGACCAGCCTGAAGAGAGGACCAGAGGAGTGCACAGGGAGCTAAGGGCTCTGAAGAGATGAGGAGGCAGGTACCAAGCAAAAGGGGACCACACTGGAAGGTGTGAAAGGGAGGGCTGCAGCAAGAGAACCTGATTTACGACAGCATCAGAGCCGATCGTCGAGCCCGAGAAGATTCTGAGCCATCGGATTCGTCACCCCACATGCATCAAGAGGATCGAGTTCCACGTTCGCTGGAAGGACCGCACGCCAACTGAAGATAGCTGCATACACGCACTCGCGTAGCGGAGGGGGCTTCTTGAGGGGGGGGGGGTAGTGTAAGGATTTTTTCAGCATTCCTTACTGGGCTCTTCAACATCGCCCAGCAGCAGCCGTTGTTCGCCCGTTACTGCTAACGGGGCTTCGCCAACTTCGCGCGCACTGTTTTACTGAACCATCCACCGCTGGCCTGGCCGAGTCGGCCTACGCTTCGGGACTAGCCCGAACCTCGATGCCAGCCTAGCACTAGCTAGCTCGCACGCGCCGCGTTACCGTTTGCATGTTTCGCGTATAAGTAATCGCTCATGCCTTCGCTCATACTTTGTACTCATTTGACACCTAGTGCAATCTTCGCTATCTCGTTCCATTGCACCCATAACAACAAGATACCAAAACTGGATACCAATCCTGTTTAGATACCAAGACAGAATCTTGGCGATATCGAAAGTCTTGTTCCATGTTGCTTTATATACCACGCTACTATCTTGGGACACATATTTTAACCTGCGAACTGAGCTTGTTTGAAAGAGTGCCTGCGCATGGCTGATTGTACTGCTCATATTTGGCACTATTTGCTGCGCCGCCAAACTCCTTAATGTACACAGTTGTGCATGTCGTGCTGCCGGGAAAGGACTTTGGTTTGCCACGCTTGCACGAGCCCAAAGAGAAGTCCAAATACTCGGCTCTTATACACGCCTGCAGTAAAAAGAGGGAAGAGCAACTAGTAAGAACAAGCATGAATGCATTTCCCGTACATGTAGCATGTGCACCATAATACCTGACTTGTATTGGCACAACAAAGCTCAATCATCACATCTCGCAGCCCATCCCAAGCTCACCGTGACTCCCAGCTTGTCTCAGGCACCCCAGCAGGTGTGGGCACAACATTACTACACACACGCCCTGGATTCATGCGGTAGAGCTCCACCATTGAGATAGCTCCTTGCGATTTGGACCTTCAACCATGGCACCCACACTCCATCTAAGCGCACTCACCGTCACTCCTAGCTTGTCGCCAGGCACCCCTGCAGGTGTGGGCACGGCATTACTGCACACGAGCCCCGGGTTCATCCTGTAGAGTTCCACCATGGAGATGGCTCCCTTGGACGCCTCCACCGTCTGGCTGCAGCTGGCCTGGCTGCTGATGAACGTGGTTCCTAGGCAGCTCGGGATGCTGGCGGCGGCCCGCGCGTTGCGCTCGATGCACAGGGAGTGCGAGGCGGGGAGAGGAGAGCCACAGTCGAGGTCCGGGTTGAGCTGCCCGAGAGCTGAGGAGGAGAGGGCCAGGAAGGTTGCTACTGAGGCACACGTGTCGCTCTGGTGGGTAGGGGTGGGGGTGGGTTTTGAAGTGAGAAGGGGGAGGGGGAGGATTGTTTAGGCGGCTCAGAAATGGCGGGGAGGGGCGAGGCGCAGTGGGGGTCTGGGTTGAGCTGCTGGAGTGTGGAGGAGGAGAGGGTCAGGAAGGCCGCCACGGACTTACACGTGTGAGCAGTACTTAGTGGACGTTGTCTGAGGGAGGGACGAGGAGAGGCAGTGCATGGCAGACAGTGAAGGAAGAGATTCAAGCAGGAGTGTCAGAAGCTGGCGGTCGGAAATCTACGGTGCTCACCGGATAGGTGTAGTAGTAAGCAGAGCAGGCAGGCAGATTGTTGGGCGCAGGCACCTTGAGCGCCTTGCCTTTCGAGAGGGGAGAGTTGCAGTCAACATCCTGCAGGCATGGCCAGCAGAAGCAGATTCTTTTATACTTGGATATTTACTCACAAACCAGCTAGTTGCATTCAGCGTGGCCAGCAGCAGATCAAGTAGTTTGAATTATTGAGTCGATTTATTAGGTGCCTAAGAAATCGATTCATGACATCGGCAACAGCAAAACAGGAGTACTTTGGCTGTTTACCTTGCTGATGTGTTTTGGTAGGTGTGGTGTGGTGTGGTGTGGTGTAAGATGATGGAAACGAAACATTGCTTTGAGTTGACTTGATTGGAATCGAAGATGTGGTATCGATGGCCTTTATTGATGTAACTAATCATCCTAGCAAACAACATGGGATGCGGTTGACAAGCTTGTAGGAAGCTCCCTATAAAGTGACTCGTGGTTTAATGGAAGTTTACCTCACCCAACCCCACCCCACCTCTACATCTTACAATGGACAGCATGATACGATTAAAAGAAAATTTTTGTACGATGAAGCAATGGAAACAAAAGAAAGCATATGAGACTGTCAGAGCATTTCTCACAGTGTTATTCCCCAAAAAGTTCTCGAGTGTGTTCCCATAAAGGGAATAAACATCACTGCAACGCCAGTTGCTTCCAGTGACTACTAGCGTTGAGGCCAATGTGGCTCCTGGAGGCAACACAGGGAAGAAGAGTGTGAACGTGTTGCAGGGTAGACATGACTTGCAATATCAGCCTTGTTAGCAACATTCATGTCAGCAACATTCATGTCAGCAACATTCATGTCAGCAACATTATAGGGAGGCGGAAGTGCAACAATCAAGGTGGGTGGCGGTGCAAATAAGGGGTGGTTGGAAAGGTAGCATCTACTAGAACGATGGATTACTCCGTGAAAACACGGGTTGCTAGGATGTGTGCGCACATCAGCATTACTGCTTGCAGTGGCCATAACAAGGATCCTAACACACACACACACACACACACACACACACACACACACACACACACACACACACACACACACACACACACACACACACACACACACACACACACACACACACACACACACACACACACACACACACACACACACACACACACACACACACACACACACACACACACACACACACACACACACACACACACACACACACACACACACACACACACACACACACACACACACACACACACACACACACACACACACACACACACACACACACACACACACACACACACACACACACACACACACACACACACACACACACACACACACACACACACACACACATACATACATATAAAGGTTTTTCTTTTTATATTTTTTCTTTTTTCTAATTTAGAATGAGGGTTCCAACGGCCTCCATGTTTTCTCTTCTCTAGCGCCACACTTAACTTCCTCATAGGGGTTGACTTAATTTCCTCATAGGGGGTGTGGGTGGGCGGGCACACAAACGTGTAGGCACCCTGCCCATCGTCAATACACGAGCCCAACTCACAGGGGTTCACTTTTGAGTAGACTCAAGAGTCACTTAGCACTCCAAGTGCACCTTTGGAGCAGGTGGGGAAGCCGTCGATGGTGGTGTCGGGGGTGTGAGTGGGCGGGCACACACACGTGTAGGCGCCCTGGCCATCGTCCATGCAGGAACCGACCTCACAGGGGTTGCGCGTGCTGCTCCTGCACACGTTCACTGGGTGGGCAGCACCGGACAGCGAGCATGCACAGACACAGCAAGCATAGCGGCCTGATAAAGGGTTGCACATGCTGTGTGTGCTGCGCTTGCTGATGTCATGTCGGTTTCTGGTGAAGATGGTGAAATTCCACTTCACTCATGGTATGCATTGGCTAACAAAAACATTGTTTGACTACAAGTGAACAAGGCAGGGCTCTCGAGGGGTTGGTTGGAGGGGGTGGTAACCCAGCCAGCCTTACATAGAGAGTAACACTACATAGGAGCGCCAGCAGCGGCAATGTGACACTCACTGTAAGCACAGGAGCGCGTGCCATCAGTGTTATTGACCTCCTTGAAGGGCGCGGTGCAGGCGCAGTGGTTGGAGGTGCCGTCAGGGGTGCACTGGAAGCTACCGCACGGGTTGAGCACTGATGAGGACTCACTGCTGTACTTGTACGCCCTCACCATGCAGGGGTCATCCGCAGCTGGTAGGACATCACAGGGAGAGATGGAGCAATCTGAACAGTCTTGAGATACATGACTGGGTGGAAGATGTCGCACGGGTTGGGTGGAGCACCGACCCTGTCTCGCTGCGGTACCAACTATGCTGAGGGCTATGGTTGGTAATTATACGCCCTCAGCATGCACGGGTCGTCATCCGCAGCTGGTACGAAGTGGGAGGGAGGAGGGAGACTTTGAGTCGACTCAAAGGTTGCATGGGTGGAGCACGGACCCTGTCTCGCTGCGGTGCGGTGCTTGTGTGGCCACACCAAGCACGGGCCATTGGCAGCTGGTGGGGCGTGGTACGGAGGGAGGTGATTCTTGAGTCGACTCGGGGTACATCAGGCTCACTCAGCACGGACCCTGTCTCACTGGGGTACTTGTATGCCCTCTGCAAGCATGGGGCGTCCGCAGCTGGTATGGCAGGGAGGGAGGGACGGAGGAGCAACTTGAGGCGATTTTTTAGGCGCCTAAGAATCTCACGGGTTGGGCAGAGCACCACTGCCACGCTGTGGTACTTGTGCAATCTCAGCTGGCACGGGTCGTCTGTTGCTGGTGTGATGTGATGTGGCAGGGAGGGAGAGAGACAGAGGAGCAATTTCAAAAGGCTTGAAATAAACCGCGTATGACTGGGTGGGGACACTGAGAGAGTGACGCATGCACGACGCTTTGGGTCAGTCTGTGCACTGGAAGCTGCCGCATGGTTCAGGTTCAGCACCGACCCCGTCTCGCTGCAGTACTACTTATACGCCCTCAGCATGCACGAGTTGAGCACCGACCCCACCTCGCTGCGGTACTTGTACCGTGTACGCCCTCCTCACCAAGCACGGGTCGTCTGTCACTGGCATGATGCGGCAGGGAGGGACGAAGCATAGCATTTTGAGTCGACTTGAGGTACACCACATGGTAGCATGCCTGGGTGAGTGAGACACTGAGAGTGACGCACGTTGGTTTGGGTCCGTGTGTGCGCTGAGATGAATTTAGTGGCTTCATGGGCATACGGCGAGGAGCACACACAAGGGATGCAACAGCTCGCTCACTTGCAGGCGTTTATGGCTGAATGCTGCTTATCCTCCTGAACGAGACCAAACACCACATGGTGACACTGGTTGCAATGCAACAACTTAGCAGCGGTATAGACTTCCAGCAAGGCAGCAGCACAGGCCGACACTGATACTGACTGCATTCATCTCTTCAGCAAGGTTGCACTTGCACACTCAACACGGAGTTGCGAAAGTTTCTCACCTAAAACTTTTAGGTTTTGCACGGGCAACTTGTTTTCATCAAACGCTCACGAAGACTCGACGACACAAGTCACGGGCTGACTCACGCTTGACGATGGGGTAGATGCAAGGCAGCACGTTGATCCCACACACGCCACTCCCGGCCTCTATGCCCATGCGCATGTACCCATTGTCGCCCCACTGCGACCCCCACGAGTTGCGGATGAGCCAGAACGGCGCAAAGATGTGCGGCCGGCTGTCGTCAGTGCCTAACATGAGGAAGCCTGTAACAAGTACAACGTGGTTGAGGTTACCCGTGTAACAGCCTGGGTCCTGATACTTCTGCAGCTGCATGCCAAAGAAAAGGAGGAGCCCATGGGAAAGAAAAACGGCGTGCACACATTGAATTGAAGCACATGACATGGCGTATAACTGGATTGCAAGGTAGTACGTGTCAAGCTGAGTTGGGATGGGAGGAAGGAGACGGGGTTGAGTGTGTTGAAAAGGTCAGATGAATTGGCTGTTGGTAGAGAGAGAATAAACGCCAGGTCTGAAATATCCCTTTGAAATATCGCTTTGATTGAAACAAGTGCACTTTTTTGCGGAGGGATACTGGTGACATACCCCGTTATACCGAATGAGATGAGATTCGTACCCCATTGTACTGGATGAAGGAGTCAGCGGAGGCCTGGATGTGCACCACCACGGGCTGCCGCTGCACGGCCAGCAGCAGGCCAAAGTAGCCCTTGAAGGCAGTGCGCTCAAACCCGCTCACCACATACTTCTTCGCCTGCATGCACACATGAGTCGAGAAGGTAGGTGGTGGTGCCATGAGTATGTGACTGCGTGGGCACATGACTCTGATTTGTTAGGCGGCGCTTCAAGGGCCGTGCGCTCAAACCCGCTCACCACATAATTCTTCCCCTGCACACATGAGAAGGTGTATTTGGTTTAAGACGTCGTGAATCAAACCCATTCTCCACGTACTTCTTCGCCTGCACACATACGAAGGTGAATTTGTTTAAAGACGTCTTAAATCAAACCCATTCACCACATACTTCTTCCCCTGCACACACGAGAAGGTCAGTGGTGGCGTGAGCATGTGATTGCATGAGCATGTGACTGTGTGAGCATGTGATTGTGTGAGAACGGTTGATTGTGTGAGCATGGTTGATTGTGTGAGTATGTGATACAACATGAAATGTGCTGGTTGGTTGCACGGAATGGAACGAGCGGATCAGAAGGCCAACACACTCGCTACTCAGTGTTTAGGGTGCGTAACCATTTTGCACCCGACGGTTCGAACCGTGGACCGTCCGGGCTGGCGAAGGGTAACGAGTTTCGCTTAACGTCGTGAGGGTGTAGGCCAGGGTGTTGGCGACATCGCCAACAAAACGGACTGTCGTGACACTTTTCCCATTTTCGGTGGTCCGAAATCTAAACCGTGGACAGTCCGAATCCCAAACGGACTGTCCGACTATCCTTGCACACGATTGGCGCGCGAAGTAAAAATTGTCGAGTCGCCTCGTCCAATGTAAAAAAACATGTTGTGCGACTTCACATATTGCCATTGACCAACCACGGACAACCCATCTACAATAATGATTCGATAACGAAAATTGCAAAGAGTCGTGAATCGCGTAACGCTTGTACAGTAGGCGCGAAACTGTACAATTGGAAAAAGGTGTCACAGCTGCCTTCGGACATCCCGTTCTTGATAAGAGGACCGTCCGCTTCGTTTTAAGGGGACTGTCCGTCAAAATCGCAAAATGCAAAATGGTTACGCGCCCTTAGTAAGTGCGACCAAGGATGCCCACGGAGTAACCAAGAAGAATTCCCAATAGCATCTCCAACATAGCCGGGCGAGCCTTACAGCAGGAGGCGTGGCGAAGGGGGAAGCCGAAGCCCTGACAGACGACTTGCGGGGAGTGGCCTCCTCCAGCCCGCCACTAGTCGCTGCCAGCTCAGTGAGCCGCTTGAAGGCGAGGGAGGGCGAGCCCTGGGAGCAGCTGGGCAGCCCCATGAGCTTGTAGAGCGAGTCCACGGAGAGCGACGGGTAGCTGCCGCTATTGCTATTGTTGGCGATGCCGTACGCTGCTTCAACGCTCGCCACCACTGCGTATGCCCAGCAGCTCCCTGCATGCACCAACGGGGTGGATGGCAATCACGGTTCATGTGGTCATAACACGGTTCGTACAGAGGGAAGGAGAAGGACAGAGAGAGATGTAGCACAAGGGAGAGACTGGAGAGAGAGGAGCGAGGATTCGTTCGGTCAGGGAGGGGCATGCAGCGTATGGTGTCAGAACTACGCGCCCGTGTCATCTTGCTTTGCTGCTGAATGTGTAAATGAGGTGTGCAATTGGAAGAGCAAGTAAAACCCTCTGGATTATGGATGTAAGCTTGTTGGTAACCCTTATGTTTGGTAGTAAGTGTAAGTATATTGATGAACTTTATGCTTTATAATATTTGTAAATATAATGATTACCCTAATGTTTGGTAGTAGGTGTATGCGCGTTGCGTAACCTTATGTTTGGTATTAAGTGTAAGTCAGTTAGTTATTCATGTGTGTGGCACTAAATGTAAGTGCATTACATAACCTTATGTTTGGTATTGAATGTAAGTACGTTAGTAACCCTTATGTTTGGTATTAAGTCTAAGTATATTGATTACCCAACTGTATATTTAGTACTAAGTAGAAAAATATTTTAGATTTATATGTAATTTCGTTAATTATCGTTCTGTTTGGTACCACATGTAGTTGTAATGATTACCTATATATTTGACATTTGGTGTTAACGTACTAATTACCACTTTGTTTCGTACGGGATATTGATGCGTTACTTAACGTTAAGATTTGTACTAAATATAATATGTTGGTAACATTATGCTTGGTACTAAGCATAAGTACATTAATATCACATTTGTTTATTACTATACTATGTGTAAGTATGTTACTTAACCTTACGTTTAATAGTAAGTGTAACTGCTTTACTTAAGCTTATACTTAGTACTAGATGTAAGTATGTCAATAACTCTTGTGTTTATTATCAAGTCCAAATATATTGATTACCTTTATATTTAGTACGAATTGAAGTTCTGTAACTACCACATGCCTCATAGCACAAGCCTTGCTACCACCACAAGCCAAGATTGTGCATGGCACAGTGACCCCTGCTCCCACCACAGCGACCCTTTCACCTGCCTCAGGGCACTGACTCACCACAGAAGCCTTGGTCAGACGCCTGCCACAGCTGTCCTGTGTTGCTCCACACGGCGTAGCTTCGCGTCGTCCACGCCGCCTGCCCGTCCTGTGCCTGCGAGTACCCCGCGCTCACATAGCGCGTGAACGGGCTGCTGGTGGCGGGGCGCAGTGTGTCCACTGTCACCACCAGGCCAGTGGCTGAGAGGAGGGCGGGCAATATGGGATTCACTTTAGAGTATTTTGAAACGCGGCGAGGCGAGTACCCCGCGCTCACATAGCGCGTGAGTGAACGGGCTGCTGGTGGTGAGCGGAAATTGGGAAAGGTAACGGGGGGATGATGAGGAGGACATGAGGGTAGCACAGCGTTTCCGCCGACACCACCTGTGGCTGTGAGGAGGGCGGCAAGCGATGGTGGGGGGCCAAGGGAGTTGGGAAAGTAAAAGGGGGAGGGGCACGAGGTTGGCTTGGATGGAAGAGGTTGGGAAGGCGTGAACCATTTCGTCATGCATGTGATGTCATGCTGGTTGGCCAGCATGTGACAGAAGAGGTTGAGACGAGACTATCGTTGAAAGGGTGGATGAATGGCGGCACTATCGTGTGATAGTAAGCAGGCCGGCTAGAGGCGAGGAAATGGCATGGCAAGAACTGGTTGAAATGACATCCATTGACCTGGAGAGTCTGGGTGAGGACTGTATGACAGAATGCCGGGTGAGAATGCAGAATTTGATTTTGACAGAATGTATGTATGCGGGCATGCGCACGAATTAACAAGAGGAGTGAATGTTCATTTAATATCAGCCTGGCTCTCAAACACAGCCTGGCTCCCTCGTGCTTGAATGTCTGGGCCACATGGGCACTGTGCTGTGCTGGATGGGTACTTGCTTGTGTGTTTCTCCAAATGTGGAGAATTAGAGCAGCTCATGAAGGAAGCGGCATGCAGACTCACTCACCTCTACGGTGTGACAGCGTGGAGGCTGGAGCGTAGCCTGCAGCAAGAATAACGTGTTGGGAGGAGGGGGGCACAGGAGAACACGTGTGATAATTAGGAGACGTAGTGGTACACCACGGCAGTGAGATGCACAAATTCAGACCGCAAGCTAAGCATTGCAAATCCGGAAGAATGTGATGGGACAAGAAAGTTAATCCATGGCCAGCAAGGGAGACTTGCATGTCTCAACGGTGGTGATGCAAACGGTGTGCTGCTGAGTGAAATTCTTCCTTGATGCGGCGACAGAACCAAAGTAGAAAGTAGAGGAGGCCTCGGTGGGCTCAAGCACGTCGCACGGCGAGAGAGAGACCCACCTGTTTCAACGGTGGTGATCCCAACAGTGTGCTGCTGGGTGAACTGCGCCCGCGATGATGCAACGAAGCCAAAGTAGAAAGAAGTGGAGGCCTCAGTCGGCTCGAGCACGTCACACAGCGAGAGGGGCGTGGAGAGCAGCGGCTTGGCAGGCTTGGGAGAGGGCGTCGTGGCGAGGGACACGTTCAGCATGCCGTTGCCTGCAGGGCTGTACTCCACCCACACGAAGTACGGCATGCCACTGTTCAGCAGCGGTTTGCTCTTCACGGAGACTTTGGATATGGCGCTCCCGTTCACGTTCACTCCTACGTGGTTGTTGCTCGCGTCCTTGTCCTCCTTGTTCAGCCACGTGTCAAATTCCACTGCCATGCTCGCCTTGTCCATTCCAGAGTAACCCATGCTGCCGCCCTGCGTGCCGGCCGCGGCCGTCTTGGAGATCACAAACGCCAGCCCGTCGCCGCCCGTCTTGCCGGAGCGGAGCATGGTGAAGGAGAAGTTGGCTCGGAAGTAGAGCTCGCGGCCGCAGCCGTCCCGGAGGGCCGCAAAGGAGAAGAGCGGCAGAGGCGCAGCGGAGAAGAGGGCTCCTGTGGAAGGTGTGGTGAGGTCTGTGAGGACGCCGCCTGAGGGGAAAATGGTGGCCACCCGTGGGTAGGCCAGCTCTGCACAATGAGAGAAGGCGGGGCGGCAATGAGAGAGCAGGAAGGTATTTGGTACACACGGGTATGTATGGAATCCGTAGAGATTCACACAAACTTTGTCACATGGTTAGTCGTTACTTACCTTTGCGAATACACGTGTCTGCCGACTCCCCATTGGTGTACCCCTCAACACAGTCACAAACAGACGTCTCATCCACTCCACACCCTACAGCACACACTCTCCCACTCCCTCCCCCCACACGCCCCCCCTACATTCTGTCGCGAACAAACAAGGTTACTAGCTACTTACCTTTCCTGATGCATGTGTCTGCCGACTCCCCATTGGTGTACCCGTCAACACAGTCACACACGGGGGTCTCATCCGCGCCCTGCAGCACACACGCCCCCAACCCTCCACACGGGAGCGATGTGCTGGAGAGGCCGCAGAAGGGAGCGCACTCGGTGGTGGCGCGCTGGGTGATGGAGGGGCAGGAGAAGGAGGCGTTGTAGGTGAAGCAGTTGGTGGCGAGGAGGGCGGCGGTGCAGGTGGTGGAGGGTGCTGAGGAGAAGAAGTTGTTGCGTGAGGAGAGAGCGGATGCTGTTGGGGGCAGGATGATGGCGCCTGACAGCTTGTTGTTGTAGACGAGCCTGGGGGAGGGATGGTGGGAGGGGTTGCAATGCGTAATGCAGAAAAGCGTATTGCAGCGAAGTGTTGAGATAAAGGAGGTGATATCCAAACAATGTAGGGAAATGGGGAGTTGGAGTGAAAGGAGGGGATCGAGGGTGGGGGGGTTGAGGGGTGGGGTTTTGCCTTGCACATACATGCTTGTGAGTGCTGTCATTGACGTAATTGAGCTCGGCAGACTTCCTGACAGACGGTTGCCACTCAAGTCCCTGTGGTGGGGTGTAAGATTTCAGGCACGCCAATGGAAACTCATCGCATCAACGACGGTCAAAGACATGCATGCGTAGCAATTACGGCGTGGAATATAACCGTTCCGTAGCACCACCTTCAAACAAGGTGAGCGACGGAGTCATTAACGAGGCGGAACACGAGCCAGATTGTGACGAACAGTGAGCCACAAGCCACAAACCAGCTGTTGCGGCACCTCCAGCCACCTCCAGCTTGGCTACAGTCAAAAGAAACCAACAGCACGTAACTTCTTGCTGGCCCACCCCAGTACAAAAACGATCGGACCATTTGCTTAGACTCAAATGACACAATTGTAAACAGGACCTCCCAAGCAAGATATTGACAGGAAGAGCGCGTTTGCTCACAGTAACTGAAGTTTCTGGAGCTGGCCAATGGAGGGCGGAAGCTTTCCCGAGAGACTGTTCTCCCTCAGGTCACTGCAGGGAAGAAAAGGCATGATTGTGGGCACCAGGTGCGATGTTAGTCAAACGAAGGTTGCTACGTCGGTTCACTCGCATGAGAATATTGCTGTGGGAATTTTTAAAGCGAAATGGAGGATAAAAGGTATTGCGGAAGATGGTAGGATAGGATGTAGTGACCACAATAATGTCAGAAGAATGCAAGTAGAGGTAGGATGCATGCGGTGGAGGTGGGATGCAAGTGGAGCTAGGATGCAGTGGAGGTGGGATGCAGTGGAGGTGGGATGCAGTGGAGGTGGGATGTTGCAGGCAATTTAAATGATACCATGAAACTATTAACTGGCAGTGCACGAGGGGCTTTAGAATGAAATCTGCTGCCGGCACGGCATGTGCTCACCAGGTGACCAGCTTCGTGAGAGCTGAGATGCAATCAGGAATGGACCCCGAGAAGCTGTTGAGACCCGCCGATCTGCCTTGCCGTCCCGGCAGCAAGCAACATGCAAGGGAGTTGAGGTGGATAAAAGGTAGCACCACCAAATGCACCAAGAAGCTAATGGAGAGAGAGTGGGGAAACGAAACTGCCAGGCTGGAGCCTGGTGAGGCGGAATGGTAAACTCATGAAGGATAAAACGAGGCAGAAATGAGGAAAAAGCAAAGTGACGAGCATGTGAACAGGATTCCACCCACTTACATCGCTGTCAGGCTCGTCATGTTGCAAAGACCTTGAGGAATCTGACCGTTGAAGCCGTTCACTCCAACACTCCTGCACCCATGCGCCCCACCACACGGGCGTAAGCACCGAGATTTCGACCATTGAAGGCTCTGGGCTGAAAATATGTTAAACTGTCACATGCATGATGCATATCATGAACAAGACAGCCTTCTGCTATTGGGCCACTGTTTTGAAAATCTGCAGTCTTTGCTCGCAACATACACTGACAGACACTCACAAGAACTCTAGCTTTTGGAGAGACGAGATGGAGTCGGGCAGTGGTCCATCGAACTTGTTTGAGTTCATGACCCTGCAGCACACATAGTGATTTAGGAGTAAAATGGAGGATAATAAACAAGGGAGAGGTGGCACATGCAAGCACGTAGACAGACAGGGCATGTCATCAGTGAAATCTGCGTGAAACTCTTCTGCTGTGTGCGAACGACTGAGTTGAATCAACAAGCGCATTAGAAACATGGAATGGAAACTCCATTTGCAGCAGTTGCCTTGCATCCCACACATGCAACCGTCTGAAAGTTGAAGAATACCCTGTCCTCTCTCTATGTATGGAGCGGGGCAGGAGAGTCAGCATCTTGTAAGCACATAGCAACATGGAAGTTGGAAATCGAGCAAAGGAAGATCGTTCCACTTACAGCGTGACCAGATTCGTGAGCTTTCCGAACGTCGTGGGCAGGGAGCCACTGAACCGGTTGGTTCCAACATTTCTGGAACGTACAACGGTTCAGTACGGTGGTGAGATGAGTGTGGTGGAGTGGATGGAGATGCATGAAGGGTGAGTACAATTGGATGGCGAGTTGATGAGGCGCCATCCACTTCATCCACTTCTTACACACGAAAACACTTTTGAGGCGCCTTTTGAGGCTAGCAGTATGCCCCTTACCTCTCTTCGAGAAAAGTGCTTATGGAAACTTCAGCAGGAAACAAATTGAGATGCTTACAAGGCAGTGAGGTAAACAAGATTCCCAATGAGATCCGGCATGCTCCCAGAGGTTCGAGTGTTGGCCACATCCCTGCATTAACACGCACAGCGGCACAGGGACCAGGAATTTGAGAGTTAGGCTCACTCCCCCGCTCATGGGTTGCGATCATTCCACATGTGCGTGTTGAGAAATCGCATGATCCATGTTCCATGTTCCATCCATTGGTGCCAAACAGCCTTACCGTCCCAACCAGCCTGTTTCGCTGCATTTCACATGCACAGCACAGCAGCACCACAGCACAGCAGCACCGCAGTGCGACTTACAGTTTCACGACATGGTTCTGCGCGTCGCATGTGATGTGCCGCATGTTGGCACACTGCGCATCCTTGCTCCACGTGCCCTCCCCGTCGTATCCCCGCCACGCTGTTGCCAGTGCTTCCAGTGCAAGCCCTGTGCCGTGCAGGGTATGTGGGAGGGATATGTGTGAGGGGTGCGTGACCTTTGAGTCAACTCAATTGCACACCGCGCATCCTTGCTCCCCGTCGTACCCCCGCCACGCTGTTGCTGGTGCTTCCAGTGCCAGCCCTGTGGAGGGGGGGTGTGAAAGGGGCGTGTGGGAGCGGCGTGTGGGAAGAGAGTGTGAGAGAGGTGTGTGGGAGGAGCGTGTGAGAAGGGTGTGAGCAATTCGACGTTTGAAGAGGGACGGGAGGTGTGATGATGCATAGCCGGGGCGGGGAGGGATCTTATTCATAGAAGAAGAAGGGAAAAAAAGAGGGTGGATAGGATCATCCAATCCAATTTGGATGCATGCACTGATCAAACGTCAGCCATGCGATTGAACTCTTGTGTGAGAGGGGACAGGAGCGAAGGAGCAGAATCACACTGTCATCACTCCAATACTGCCCAACAGGCAGGGCGTGGGACATGCTATGGCATCTCGAAAACACCGAGTCATTGAGAGATCAGCCTTACACTCGGACTCGGGCAGGACGGCATCACAGATGGCAGGGGAAACCCCGGTGGTGAATCCCGAGGCACAGGCACACGTGGCGTTGCTGCTGGTCTGCGGCGCCTGCCAGAAGCAGTAGCCCCGGCCGGCACAGGGCGCCGCGGAAGGCGGGGAGAGGCCGCAGAAGGCTGCACACTGCTGGGTGGTCTGCTGCGTTTGAACGAGGCCGCAGGGGATGGAGGTGGAGGGGAAGCAGTTGTTGGCGAGGGAGAGAGAGACAGTGGAGCAGAAAGAGTCGGGAAGGGTGCCTGCGTAGAGATAGTTGATGCCCAACGACCTATTTGGTGAAGTGGGAAGAGGAAAACAGAGTGGACGGAACATAAGGCTTGTGCACGTGCCAGATGGATTCAGTCAGGTATATTTATTCGCGTGGAGTGGAGCAGATGATTTTCTATTGGCCGTTGGTTAAACGAAGCAGCAAGAGATGACTGAAAGAAGAGAGAGATGACTGACTGAAAGCCGTCAGAGATGACTGAATGAAAGCCGTCAGAGATGACTGACTGAAAGCAGCAAGATGTGACTGAAAGCAGCGAGAGGTGACTGAAAGCAGCGAGAGGTGACTGAAAGCAGCGAAAGGTGACTGAAAGCAGCGAGAGATGAATGAAATCAGCAAGAGGTGACTGAATGGAAGTAGCGAGAGGTGACTGAATCTGAAAGCAGCGAGGGATGACTAACAAGCTTGACCGAGAAACTGGTTAACGTCGTTTGGCCGAACATGCACGAAAACTCAGACTTACAGAAATTGCAACTTCTGCAGATTCGCAAGGCTGCTCCGCAATTCTCCTGATATCTGGTTGACTGACAGATCCCTGCCAAGAAAGGGGGCATTGCAATCGTGAGAAAGCAAACAGAACAGAACGGGTATGAAAGCACCTCCATCACCATCAGCCCCTCTACTCCACGTGCACGTCCTCCTGTTTACTACACTGAAATCCCATCTTTGTGCATTGTGCCGAGTAGCCAGTATGAACAAGACAGCCACGGTAGGGGAACGGTGCAAGCAAGGAGGGTGGCGTGGTATGATGGGGGGGTTGGGGAGGGAGAGGGGAGGGGGAGGGGAGGGGGAAGGGAGGGGAAGGAGAGGGGGAGGGGAGGGGGAGGAGAGGGGGAGGGGAGGGGGAGGGGAGGGGGAGGGGAGGGCAGCTCACACGAACTGCAGGTTGGTGAGGGAGCTGAGGGACTCGGGGATGGGCCCTGCAAGACGGTTGCCAGACAGGTTTCTGCAGGCAGGCACGCAGTGGGGTGGAGGGATGCGCGGGCAAGAGATTCTTGCGTGAGGGGAAGTGGGGCTGGCCTTTGCTGGCTAGGTGCACCATGCACACCAGCTGGCGGAGATCTACCAACCTCGTCAGACGCCCTCCCCTATGGCTGGAGGGAATCAATCCCTGAAGCTGCCGTTCCACCCACCACTGCCACTCCCACTGTCCTACCACAGTACCACTGTCCCTCCCCTCTACCTCTACTGTTTTGCCTTTCCCTCACCTGCAGGTGGAACCCAAGCGAAGCGGAAGAACCCTATCAGCTCCACTCACATGGAAGTGAGGTCCAGCAGGTTGGCAATGGCCGTTGGAATCGAGCCCGTTATTCCGCGACTGGGTGCGCTTCTGTACGAAGTGCGGGTCAAGGCGAGTAGGGCAAAGGAAGGGAGGAATACAAACAAATGACAAAGAAAGACAAAAAAACAAAACAAAACATGTCAACGGGAGTTGTGTGCTGGCCTCGTCCTCGCTTGGGCGGAGCCGACTTCGTGGTCGGGTGTGAGGGGAGCAGCCGACCTGCAGCAGTGGGCGAGCTGGTTGACGAGGAGGTCGACCTGCACGGGGGCCACTGCACGGGCGCCGACTTCAGGGTGGCGCCGACTTCAGAGCAGGTTGACGAGGAAGTCGACCTGCGGAGGGCGTCGACTTGGTGACGCCAACTTGGGGCAGCCGACTTGGGTGGTCGACTGACAGGACTGCTGATCGACCTGGTGGTTGGTCGACCAGACCTGCTGGTCGACTTGGTGGTTGGTCGACCAGGCGTGATGTCGACCTGGTGGTCGACCTGACCTGGTGGTCGACGGAGGAGGGGCCGACGTCGACCTCGACTCAGGACGCCGAGCAGCGGGGCGTCGAGTAGCAAGGCGTCAACTTGGTGACGCCGACTTCGGGTAGCCGACTTGGGTGGTCGGCTGACAACTGCGCTGGTCGACATGGAGCTGGTCGACCAGGAGCGCTGGTCGACATGGAGCTGGTCGACCAGGAGTGCTGGTCGACGTGGAGCTGGTCGACCAGGAGTGACGTCGACCTGGAGCTGGTCGACCAGGGGTGTGGTCGACCTGGTGAGGTCGACTTGGGGTGGTCGTCGACTTGGGAGGTCGATGGGCACATACAGGAACAGCTGGTCGACCTGGTTGCCCGGTCGACCAGGTTACCTGGGTGACGAGGTTCTGCGGAGGAGTGCGACGGTCACCCACGCGAAGTTGGCGAGTCCGACCTCGGTGGTGGTATCCCGAGGTCGACGTGGCTGATCAGATGCAGACGTCAGCGCCAGGTTGACTTGGTGTGTGCGCTGTGCAGGTGACGAGGCTCAGCACGCCAATCATCTGCGAGCACCTGCGAAGCTGGTGCGATGCTGTACTACGTGAGCAACGCTGGCACGCCGTCGACCTGCTGCGTTGGCACGCTGTCGACTCTGCACTGCTGGAGCGCGGTCGACCAAGTCGTGCTGGAACGCGGTCGACCATGCTGCGCTGTCAGTCGACCGACCTGAGTGCTAGCTCTGATGTAGTCTTGCCATGCCAACTTCATTGTACCATTGTTGTCAACCTTTCTCTAGTGAAACTCTTGCCAAATTACCCCGTGAACTAGCAAGTAGTGTGTGCACTAGGAAAACGACTAAGGACCAACGAACGCAGAGATCACACGAGCACCCGTGCCTAGCCCGTAGTCTAGCTCCCGTTGTAGTAGTTATCTCCGCATGGTGCGGTGAGCGTGGACGGCACACGACTTACCTTTCAGTCAGGTCGACGTAGAGGTCACTTACCTAAGTTGCTTGTAGGCCGGCAGCCGTGCAGTCACTACCGTGCGCGTAGGTGACACCAAGGTGATGGACACCCTGGAAGGACGGCTGGAAGATGCGAGGAGACGCCATGAGACCCAGGAGTACGGGGCGATACCCTGGGCGGTCGTCGAGGCTGGACTCCGCTCCGTGTGGGCGACGGAGCATCCCCCTTCTCGACCAGCTTCTCCTCGACCGGTGACCAACGAAGGCGGCGTCGACGTGGGCGTCAACGCCGGTGGTGGCCAAGTCGGCAGTAGTGCGGGAGGCACGTCGAGGCAGAGAGGTGTGATTCACGCCGATGAAGTCGGCGGCGTTCAGGCGCGAGGGGTGCAGTCGTCGGCGGCTGAAGGCTCCTCGCAGGGCGACGTCGGAGGACGACGAAGCGGTTTGTCGCCGATGTCGGCGACCCAGGTGACGGCGGGCGGAATTGCACCGAGCTACGGCTACTTCAAGTTCGCGCAGGACAGGATCTTGGTCACCCCGCCGCTCGTTGGTCGACAGGCATCCTCACCTGGAAGGAAGCCATCGAGCCCCAGCTGGAGATGGCCGGGCTGATCAACTTTGCCCGAGGAGCCGTGGTGACGCCGGACGACCCCAACCTGCGTGCGGAGTTTCGCGCCGTGCAGCTGTTGACCTTCATGGTCATCTCGCGGTGCTGCTCGCCGGGCGTGCAGATCGCCTTGAAGTGGTGTCGGGAGTACCTCGACGCCGGCCATCAGGCGTGGCACTTCATTGAGTCGACCTACCAAGTCACCGACGACCTGTTCATCGCCCAGCTGGAGGGACAGCTGACGCACCTGCGTATGGGCGACGAGGAGACGGCGACCGACTACTGCAACCGAGCCCGGCGAATTTTCACCACCATCAGGATGGCCGGCGCGCAGTACTCGACGGCGTCGTACGTCACCCACGTCATGCAGGGACTTTCGAGCAACTACAACCTCCTGAAGCGGCTGTCAATGGCGCCGGGCACAAGGACGACGCTCAACGAGGACAACTTGACCTCGTACATCCTGCAGGACGAGGCGATGCAGGAGGCAGAGCGGTCCCAGGAGCTCCTGGCGCAGGCCAACTTCGTCGCCCCGGCGAAGCAAGGAGGTCGACCGGGGCAGCGCGGACAGTCTGGCGGCGGAGGTGGTAGTGGCTGGAAGCCGGCCAAGGAGGTCGACAAGAAGAGGTCGACCAAGGATAGCGGTCGAAGAGGAGGAAGTCGACGTCGGGAGTGCTGGCTGTGTGGCGACCCCGACCACCTCTCCTTCGAGTGCCCCGACCGCAGTGACTACGACGACGACGACGCCAAGGGAGGCCGCGGGAGGTCTGGCAGTCGTCGTCCTCGTCGAGGAGGAAACAAGCCGCGCAAGGAGTTGCAGTCGACCAAGTCGACCTCGGCGAAGGACGCCGACTCCTCTGCTGGCGGCAAGGCGGGGGACGACAAGACGGCGTCGTGCTCGCTGGTCGGCGTCCTGGAGCCGACCGTCTCGCTGGCTCCGGAGGCCGGAGAGGACTTCCAGGCGGTGGCGGCAGCTGTGCAGGCGAACCCGGCGGTGGTCCTGCTCGACAGCGGCTGCTCCCACCACCTGATGGGGACGAAGGAAGTCTTCGTCGACCTGCAGCCGAGCGGCACCATCAAGCACGTGCGCGGCTTCAATGGGGCACTGCAGGACGTCCAGGGCCGAGGTACCGTCGCCCTGCAAGGGAAGGCCGGGAAGCAGGTGCTCATCCCCGACGTGCTGTACGTCCCGGGTGTGCGGGCCAACCTGCTGTCGTCCGGCCAGCTGAAGGAGCACGGCGTGAAGCTGCAGGAGGACGGCGACAGGATGCTGCTCGTCTCGGCAGCAGGAGAAGTGCTCGGACGGGCGACGTACTCCGGGCGTGTCCTCTGCACCGACCTGCGTCCCTGCTCAACGAGGTCGACGTCAACCACGCCGGAGGTTGTGGCCCTGCGGGCGATCGTCTCGAAGACGAAGTCGACGCCGGACCGGATGCATGCGAGGCTTGCGCACGTCGGCATGGACACCATACGGAGCTCGGCGAAGAACGAGGTCGCCATTGGGCTGGACCTCAAATCGGCGACGGGCGCCGACTCACCGTGTGTCTCGTGCGTCGGCGGGAAGCTGGCGCGGCACACCTTCCCCGACCAAGGCTCTGACGCCGACGACGTGCTGGCCGTCGTGCACATCGACCTGTGCGGGCCGTTCCGCGTGGCTGCCAAGGACGGCAGCTTGTACTTCTTGCTGCTGAAGGACCGCAAGACCCGCTACGTGTGGGTGAGGCCGGTCGCCAAGAAGTCGGATGTGCTGCTGGAGTTCCAGAAGTGGCTGGTGTTGGTGGAGAGGCAGACGAAGAAGTCGGTGCTGATGCTTCGCTCCGACCGAGGGGGGGAGTTCCTCGGGAAGAAGTTCACCGACTTCGTGGACGGCGAGGGGATCGTCCACGACCTTACCTGCCCGTACACCCCGTAGCAGAACGGCATGGCGGAGCGGGAAATGAGGACGGTGGTGGAGTCGGTGCGGACGATGCTGCTGCACATGGGCGTGCAGCACCACTGGTGGCACCTCACTCTGCGGCAGGCCGTCTGGGTCCGCAACTGCCTTGAGAGGTCGACGCTGCCGCCGGGGACGACACCGTACCAGCTCCTCACCGAGACGAAGCCCGACTTGTCGCTGGCGCGGGTGTGGGGCTGCATGGCGCAGTTCCTTGTCCCCGAGCAGCAGCGTGGTGGGAAGCTGAAGCCGAAGGCCAGGTGGGGCCTTCACCTTGGCGTGTCGGCGGCGAGCAAGGGCTGGGAGCTCCTCGACGTCGACGCCAACCGGGTGGTCACCACGTCGGACGTGGTGTTCTACGAGGAGATGTCGCTGGCCGAGTGGAAGTCGGAGCACGGGCCGGTGTCCGGCCGAACGCCGTCCACCCTGCCAACCGACACCCCGTCGGCGACGCTGCCTCTGCTCGTCGAGGTCGGTGAGCTTGCTGCTGAGGACGTCGAGGACGTCCGCCCTCCTTCCCCTCCCTCTCCTGCCCCTCCCCTCCTGGCCGACCTGCGCGGGCTCACCTCGGTGTCGGCCTCCGGCGATGAGGGGAGTAGTGGGACGTCGCCTTCGGCGCCGACCAAGGGCATCGCCGGTGGCCGACGTGACAAGCAGCAAGTCGACGTGGGAGTGAAGCCGACGTTGATGGGGGAGGAGCAAGTCGAGGAGAAGCAGCTGACAGGGGAGCAGGCAGCAGTGAAGCCGACCACGGAGCAGTCGGCAACCAGGCAGTCGGCAGGGAAGCCGACCACAGGGGAGAGGTCGGCCAGGAAGTCGACCGAGGTGCAGCAGGACGACGAGGGCAGTGAAGACGACGACGAAGGTGGGGACGCCGAGGAGTCCACCAAGAGTGATGTGGTGGAGGTTCGGCCTGAACCCCGGAAGCCAGGCCGACTTCGGAGGCCGCCCGACTTCTTCGTCCCCGCTGCCTTCACCACGGTGTACGACGTGGACGACGACGACCTGGCGTATGACGACGCCGAGGAGGATGAGGAGTTTCCGGAGCTCGACCCCGACTTGCATGCCGACCCCGAGCACCGTTGGGACATCTCGACGATGACGGTGAAGGAGGCGTTGGCGAGCTGGAAGGGCCCGGCGGTGAAGGCCGCCATGGAGGAGGAGATCCGCAGCCTCATCAACATGGGCACTTGGGAGCTGGTCGAACGCCCGCCGGGAGTGAACATCATGAAGAACCGGTGGGTGTTGACGACGAAGTACCACGTCGACGACACCGTCGAGCGCGAGAAGGCGAGGCTGGTCGTGAAGGGCTTCACCCAGGTGTATGACGCCGACTACGACGAGACGTTCGCGCCGGTGGGCAGCTACGTCACCCTGAGGATTTTCCTCAGCATCGTCGTCGTCCTCAACCTCAACCTGATGCAGCTCGACATGAAGAACGCCTTCTTGCAGAGCAGGCTCGACCGGTCGCTCTACATGTCCCAGCCGGACTACTTCAACGACGGAACCGGCCGGGTGTGCAAGCTGCTGAAGAGCATGTACGGCCTGAAGCAGTCGCCGCTGTTGTGGTACTTGGCGCTCAACGAAGTGCTGGTCGGCGCCGGGTGGAAGAAGAGCCAGGTCGACGAGGCTCTGTACTTCAAGGTCGGCGACGACGGAGTGGCCTGCTGGGTGTTGGTCTACGTCGACGACCTGCTCGCCGCCAGCAGCAGCACCGAGATGCTGAAGGAGCTGAAGGGGCTGCTGGAGTCCGCCTTCGAGCTGCGTGAGATCTCGCCGGTGCAGAAGTACCTCGGGCTGGAGATCGTCCGCGACAGGTCGGCGGGGAAGCTGTGGCTGCACCAGCAGGGCTACGCCGACAAGCTGCGTAGGCGCTTCATCGACGAGGAGCAGACCGGGCGCACTCCGAAGACGCCGGTCTCGGTCGACGCCTACGCCGAGCTCACCTTCGACGACGAGGAGGCACAGGAGCGACAGGAGGAGGAGTACCGGCAGAAGGTTGGCTCGCTGCAGTTCGCGGCGACGACGACGAGGCCGGACATCGCCTTCGCCTGCAGCAAGCTGGGGAGCGGCCTCACGGTGAGGAGCGACCAGCACTGGCGCGAGGTCGACCGCTGCCTCGCCTACCTCGCCAACACGCGTGACACCGCCCTGGAGTTCGGCGGTGGACCTGAGTCGCTGGAGCTGGTCGGCTACGTGGACGCCGACGACGCCGGTGACAAGCAGAGCAGGACGAGCACGGGCGGCTACGTGTTCGTCTACGGAGGGGCCGCAGTCTCCTGGTCGAGCCAGCGCATCAAGTGTGCGACATTGTCGTCAACCGAGTCGGAGTACGTGGCAGCCACCGAAGCCGGCAAGGAGGGACGCCGACTTCGCTTCCTCCTCGCAGAATTCCAGCAGCTGGATGCTGGGAAGCCGACCGTCCTCCGGGTGGACAACAAGTCGGCCATCACGGTCGCCGAGGGCATGGGGTTGACGGGCAACCTCAAGCACATGGAGCGGCGACAGGCCTGGCTGCAGCAGATTGTGAGGCGCGGGAAGTTCTCGCTGAGGTACATCCCGACCACCGAGCAGCCGGCCGACTTCCTGACGAAGGCGCTGCACTATCCGGCCTTCAACCGGTGCTCCGTCGCCATCGGCCAGGTGCGCTTGGCCGACGTGGGCGACGAAGATGACGACGTGCAGCAGTAGGTGCCATGCCCTCTTGCATGACTGGTGCGGTGGACGACGTGCTGTGTGTTGGGTGCACGTCGACGAGCTATTCTCCGAGGAGTACTGCCGTGTGGGCTGGGGGCCCAAGCGTGAACGCGGCAGGGGAGTGTCAACGGGAGTTGTGTGCTGGCCCCGTCCTCGCTTGGGCGGAGCCGACTTCATGGTCGGGTGTGAGGGGAGCAGCCGACCTGCAGCAGTGGGCGAGCTGGTTGACGAGGAGGTCGACCTGCACGGGGGCCACTGCACGGGCGCCGACTTCATGGTGGCGCCGACTTCAGAGCAGGTTGACGAGGAAGTCGACCTGCGGAGGGCGTCGACTTGGTGACGCCAACTTGGGGCAGCCGACTTGGGTGGTCGACTGACAGGACTGCTGGTCGACCTGGTGGTTGGTCGACCAGACCTGCTGGTCGACTTGGTGGTTGGTCGACCAGGCGTGATGTCGACCTGGTGGTCGACCTGACCTGGTGGTCGACGGAGGAGGGGCCGACGTCGACCTCGACTCAGGACGCCGAGCAGCGGGGCGTCGAGTAGCAAGGCGTCAACTTGGTGACGCCGACTTCGGGTAGCCGACTTGGGTGGTCGGCTGACAACTGCGCTGGTCGACATGGAGCTGGTCGACCAGGAGCGCTGGTCGACATGGAGCTGGTCGACCAGGAGTGCTGGTCGACGTGGAGCTGGTCGACCAGGAGTGACGTCGACCTGGAGCTGGTCGACCAGGGGTGTGGTCGACCTGGTGAGGTCGACTTGGGGTGGTCGTCGACTTGGGAGGTCGACGGGCACATACAGGAACAGCTGGTCGACCTGGTTGCCCGGTCGACCACCTGGGTGACGAGGTTCTGCGGAGGAGTGCGACGGTCACCCACGCGAAGTTGGCGAGTCCGACCTCGGTGGTGGTATCCCGAGGTCGACGTGGCTGATCAGATGCAGACGTCAGCGCCAGGTTGACTTGGTGTGTGCGCTGTGCAGGTGACGAGGCTCAGCACGCCAATCATCTGCGAGCACCTGCGAAGCTGGTGCGATGCTGTACTACGTGAGCAACGCTGGCACGCCGTCGACCTGCTGCGTTGGCACGCCGTCGACTCTGCACTGCTGGAGCGCGGTCGACCAAGTCGTGCTGGAACGCGGTCGACCATGCTACGCTGTCAGTCGACCGACCTGAGTGCTAGCTCTGATGTAGTCTTGCCATGCCAACTTCATTGTACCATTGTTGTCAACCTTCTCTAGTGAAACTCTTGCCAAATTACCCCGTGAACTAGCAAGTAGTGTGTGCACTAGGAAAACGACTAAGGACCAACGAACGCAGAGATCACACGAGCACCCGTGCCTAGCCCGTAGTCTAGCTCCCGTTGTAGTAGTTATCTCCGCAAAACAAACCCGTCTACATGGAACAAAACCAGCCCATCTGCGACGCCTTTCTTTGGCGTTATCAACGTGGAAACTGAGCAATTACTGTCATACATCAATGCACATGATGAAGAACCTCCTCCAAATCAATGGGAGATCATTGCGCAATGGGAATGAAGAGGAGCCTCACGGTTTGACGATGTGGTTGTCCTGGTTGCACGTGACTTATTTCAGCTGCGCACATGGCCCTCTTTTTTAAACCTCTGAAAATGGAAGTAGAGAGCAAGCTCACAGCTTGATGATGTGGTTGGCTTGGTTGCACAAGACGTATTTGAGCTGCGCACACGGCACCTTCCTTCTCCAGGTGCCGTCGCCGTCAAAGCCGCCCCACGCCACTGAGAGCGCACTCAGAGCCAACCCTGCGCACGCACAGCCGTCACACACAGCCAGCACACACAGCCGGCACACACAGCCAACACAACACCACATAGACCATCGCAAACTTTTAGACGTCTCCAAAGTCGACACTGAGAGTGCACTGAGAACCAGCCCTGGGCTGGGTACACACGGCACAGCACGCACAACACAGCACCACATCGACCATTGCGTTATGCAGCTTGAACTTGCACACACACCCACACCCTCATAGCACGCTGATGCTATGGATGAAACAACATGGGCAACACAGCTCGCTCAAGTCAGGCACACAAAAAAACAAAGCAGACCATCACGAGAATGATGAAAGAGGATGCAGAAAGCGACCCAACCCACAAAGACGATGATCGAGTGTGGGGAAGGGAACTTTCATTCTGAATCTGGCAGCGATAAGAGGCACGTGCCGGAAACCACGCCATGGAGTTGCAGGGTGTTCTTGAGAATTCTCAATAACACCAAGACCTCTCAGAAACACTCTGAAAGAGGGTGCAGAAAGAAAACTGTGCAGAACTTACATTCTGAGTCTGGCAGCGACTGCAGGCACGTGCTGGGATCCACCCCGTTCCCAAACCCCTCGTTGCACGCGCAAGTGGCAGTGCCCGTGAACTGCGCCCCCTGCCAGAAGCAGTAGCCCTGACCGGCACATGACGGTGTGGCGGGGGGTGAGAGGCCGCAGAAGGCACTGCACTGCTGGGCGGGGCGTTGAGGTTGGTTGCAGGGGATGGCCTTGGCGGGGAAGCAGTTGTTCCCGAACGCGAGTGTGAGGGTCTTGGATGTGCACTTGGGCTTGGGAACCGTGCCTAAGTGGAGATAGTTATCGCTGACAGACCTGCATGTGGTGGGGGTGAGAGGACGGTGTGTGTGATGCAGCATTGTGAGCAGAGCAGCTGTTAGATGAGATCACAGGTGATGGCAATTGGGAACAGACAGAAATAACTCGGGTTCCTGGCGTGTTTAGCCAGGGTTTGCGGGGTTGGCTTGGATGCTGGAATGTGCTTACAGAAAGCGGAGGGACTTGAGGGCGAGGAGAGAGGCGGGCATGGATCCAGACAACTGGTTGTTGGAAAAGTCACTGCAGGCACGCACGCACGCAAGCAAGCGGACAAGCATTGATGGGAGTTTTTAGTTAACTCAAAAGTCAGAACGGCGAGCATGGATCCAGACAGCTGGCTGTTAGATAGGTCACTGTAGGCAAGCATGCAAGCAGCCAGCAAATAGTCAAGCAAGCAGCAACCGGCAAGCAAGAAAGCAAGGCGTTTACGGAACTCATGTCAGACAAGCCCGAGGAAAACAAACATGTTGAGAACAGCTCAAACAATGCGTGACTTTTCCATAGTTCATATATAAGACGAATCTAGTGTGAAAAGGCTACATAATGTGTGTTCACACCGTATGGTGATGGCATAAACGCACGCAAGATTTCAAAATTGAGGGTGGCAAATACAAAACATTGACATCACTGCCCACCTGGTAGTTCGCAAGCACAAGGTAGCAGAAGGTCTCACAGATTCACTATGTTGGCAAGGCTGGTAAATGAAGTAGGGATGGTGCTAGTGAATACGTTTCTTGAAAGATTCCTACAGGATGGGTGGGAGGCACGACAGTGGATTCGATCATGGGGGAACGAACAGGGGATCAAGAATGGTATGGAGTAGGCATGATGTGGCCCTTTGTTCCACACCCATGGCTCATGGTAGCATATGCCAGCATAGGCGATGCCATTCTATTCTAGGTCCGGCTCAGCTTGTGGCTAAACGGGCTGAGCCGGACGTTGGGCAGGCATGGCATGAACGATGATACTGCTGTTCAGCTTCCGGTGTACTTTTAATCAAGTGTGGCAGAAGACGGCATGAGATAGAAAGGCGGCATGAGGTAGAAAGGCGGCATGAGGTAGAACGACGGCATGAGGTAGAAAGGCGGCATGAGGTAGAAAGGCGGCATGAGGTAGAAAGACGGCATGAGGTAGAAAGGCGGCATGAGGTAGAAAGGCGGCATGAGGTAGAAAGACGGCATGAGGTAGAAAGGCGGCATGAGGTAGAAAGGCGGCATGAGGTAGAAAGGCGGCATGAGGTAGAAAGACGGCATGAGGTAGAAAGGCGGCATGAGGTAGAAAGACGGCATGAGGTAGAAAGACGGCATGAGGTAGAAAGACGGCATGAGGTAGAAAGACGGCATGAGGTAGAAAGGCGGCATGAGGTAGAAAGGCGGCATGAGGTAGAAAGGCGGCATGAGGTAGAAAGGCGGCATGAGGTAGAAAGACGGCATGAGGTAGAAAGACGGCATGAGGTAGAAAGACGGCATGAGGTAGAAAGACGGCGTGAGGTAGAAAGGCGGCATGAGGTAGAAAGGCGGCATGAGGTAGAAAGACGGCATGAGGTAGAAAGGCGGCATGAGGTAGAAAGACGGCATGAGGTAGAAAGGCGGCATGAGGTAGAAAGGCGGCATGAGGTAGAAAGGCGGCATGAGGTAGAAAAACATCATGAGGAAAACATGAACACAGCATGAGGCGGTGGGAAGTCGGCATGGGGAATGCGGAGAACAGGACATACAGGTGTGTGAGGGCATACAGGTGTGTGAGGGCATACAGGTGTGTGAGGGCATACAGGTGTGTGAGGGCATACAGGTGTGTGAGGGCATACAGGTGTGTGAGGGCATACAGGTGTGTGAGGGCATACAGGTGTGTGAGGGCATACAGGTGTGTGAGGGCATACAGGTGTGTGAGGGCATACAGGTGTGTGAGGGCAATACAGGTGTGTGAGGGCATACAGGTGTGTAAGGCGAGTGAGCGTTGAGAGCACGGATGGGATGGTTCCAGGCAGGCCTTGGTTGGATAGGTCGCTGGAGAGTGGGTGGGCCGGGCACAAGTATACGGAGGTGAACATATGAAGGAACATATATGAGTGCTGCAGCAGCAGCAGTAAGAAAGAAAAAGGGACGAGTGGAACTTGAGTTACCAATGTTGCTTTGCTTGCTCCTCCTAGGTCCAGGATCCTGGTTAGCAGACGGGTGTTTCTAACATGGGCTCAGCTCAACTCAATTCTCTCAGACTCCCAGCTGACGTCACCTCTCTTGGCCATCTCCCGTTGTGGGGGGCTGTTGCTACCAGATCCCAGGTCCCCGTTGGGGTTCCCAGTCACCCCAGGTCCCGTTGGGGTTCCCAGTCACCCCAGGTCCCGTTGGGGTTCCCAGTCACCCCAGGTCCCGTTGGGGTTCCCAGTCACCCCAGGTCCCGTTGGGGTTCCCAGTCACCCCAGGTCCCGTTGGGGTTCCCAGTCACCCCGTTGCTCACGTTCAACCCAGAGATCCTAGAATGGCTACACGTTCCGTCCGGGGGGTAGGTGCGCTGGCTGACCTATCAAAGCCAGCATGCTCTTTTGACCTATCAAAGCCAGCATGCTCTTTTGACCTATCAAAGCCAGCATGCTCCTTTGACCTATCAAAGCCAGCATGCTCTTTTGACCTATCAAAGCCAGCATGCTCTTTTGACCTATCAAAGCCAGCATGCTCCTTTGACCTATCAAAGCCAGCATGCTCTTTTGACCTATCAAAGCCAGCATGCTCTTTTGACCTATCAAAGCCAGCATGCTCTTTTGACCTATCAAAGCCAGCATGCTCTTTTGACCTATCAAAGCCAGCATGCTCTTTTGACCTATCAAAGCCAGCATGCTCTTTTGACCTATCAAAGCCAGCATGCTCTTTTGACCGATCAAAGCCAGCATGCTCTTTTGACCTATCAAAGCCAGCATGCTCTTTTGACCTATCAAAGCCAGCATGCTCTTTTGACCTATCAAAGCCAGCATGCTCTTTTGACCTATCAAAGCCAGCATGCTCTTTTGACCTATCAAAGCCAGCATGCTCTTTTGACCTATCAAAGCCAGCATGCTCTTTTGACCTATCAAAGCCACCATGCTCTTTTGACCTATCAAAGCCAGCATGCTCTTTTGACCTATCAAAGCCAGCATGCTCTTTTGACCTATCAAAGCCAGCATGCTCTTTTGACCTATCAAAGCCAGCATGCTCTTTTGACCTATCAAAGCCACCATGCTCTTTTGACCTATCAAAGCCAGCATGCTCTTTTGACCTATCAAAGCCAGCATGCTCTTTTGACCTATCAAAGCCAGCATGCTCTTTTGACCTATCAAAGCCAGCATGCTCTTTTGACCTATCAAAGCCAGCACGCTCTTTTGACCAATCAAAGCCAGCATGCTCTTTTGACCTATCAAAGCCAGCATGCTCTTTTGACCTATCAAAGCCAGCATGCTCTCTTGACCTATCAAAGCCACCATGCTCTCTTGACCTATCAAAGCCACCATGCTCTTTTGACCTATCAAAGCCACCATGCTCTTTTGACCTATCAAAGCCACCATGCTCTTTTGACCTATCAAAGCCAGCATGCTCTTTTGACCTATCAAAGCCAGCATGCTCTTTTGTCCTATCAAAGCCAGCATGCTCTTTTGACCTATCAAAGCCACCATGCTCTTTTGACCTATCAAAGCCAGCATGATCTTTTGACCTATCAAAGCCAGCATGCTCTTTTGACCTATCAAAGCCAGCATGCTCTTTTGACCTATCAAAGCCAGCATGCTCTTTTGACCTATCAAAGCCAGCATGCTCTTTTGACCTATCAAACCCAGCATGCTCTTTTGACCTATCAAACCCAGCATGCTCTTTTGACCTATCAAACCCAGCATGCTCTTTTGACCTATCAAAGCCAGCATGCTCTTTTGACCTATCAAAGCCAGCATGCTCTTTTGACCTATCAAAGCCAGCATGCTCTTTTGACCTATCAAAGCCACCATGCTCTTTTGACCTATCAAAGCCAGCATGCTCTTTTGACCTATCAAAGCCAGCATGCTCTTTTGACCTATCAAAGCCAGCATGCTCTTTTGACCTATCAAAGCCAGCATGCTCTTTTGACCTATCAAAGCCAGCATGCTCTTTTGACCTATCAAAGCCAGCATGATCTTTTGACCTATCAAAGCCAGCATGCTCTTTTGACCTATCAAAGCCAGCATGCTCTTTTGACCTATCAAAGCCAGCATGCTCTTTTGACCTATCAAAGCCAGCATGCTCTTTTGACCTATCAAACCCAGCATGCTCTTTTGACCTATCAAACCCAGCATGCTCTTTTGACCTATCAAACCCAGCATGCTCTTTTGACCTATCAAAGCCAGCATGCTCTTTTGACCTATCAAAGCCAGCATGCTCTTTTGACCTATCAAAGCCAGCATGCTCTTTTGACCTATCAAAGCCACCATGCTCTTTTGACCTATCAAAGCCAGCATGCTCTTTTGACCTATCAAAGCCAGCATGCTCTTTTGACCTATCAAAGCCAGCATGCTCTTTTGACCTATCAAAGCCAGCATGCTCTTTTGACCTATCAAAGCCAGCATGCTCTTTTGACCTATCAAAGCCAGCATGCTCTTTTGACCGATCAAAGCCAGCATGCTCTTTTGACCTATCAAAGCCAGCATGCTCTTTTGACCTATCAAAGCCAGCATGCTCTTTTGACCTATCAAAGCCAGCATGCTCTTTTGACCTATCAAAGCCAGCATGCTCTTTTGACCTATCAAAGCCAGCATGCTCTTTTGACCTATCAAAGCCAGCATGCTCTTTTGACCTATCAAAGCCACCATGCTCTTTTGACCTATCAAAGCCAGCATGCTCTTTTGACCTATCAAAGCCAGCATGCTCTTTTGACCTATCAAAGCCAGCATGCTCTTTTGACCTATCAAAGCCAGCATGCTCTTTTGACCTATCAAAGCCACCATGCTCTTTTGACCTATCAAAGCCAGCATGCTCTTTTGACCTATCAAAGCCAGCATGCTCTTTTGACCTATCAAAGCCAGCATGCTCTTTTGACCTATCAAAGCCAGCATGCTCTTTTGACCTATCAAAGCCAGCACGCTCTTTTGACCAATCAAAGCCAGCATGCTCTTTTGACCTATCAAAGCCAGCATGCTCTTTTGACCTATCAAAGCCAGCATGCTCTCTTGACCTATCAAAGCCACCATGCTCTCTTGACCTATCAAAGCCACCATGCTCTTTTGACCTATCAAAGCCACCATGCTCTTTTGACCTATCAAAGCCACCATGCTCTTTTGACCTATCAAAGCCAGCATGCTCTTTTGACCTATCAAAGCCAGCATGCTCTTTTGTCCTATCAAAGCCAGCATGCTCTTTTGACCTATCAAAGCCACCATGCTCTTTTGACCTATCAAAGCCAGCATGATCTTTTGACCTATCAAAGCCAGCATGCTCTTTTGACCTATCAAAGCCAGCATGCTCTTTTGACCTATCAAAGCCAGCATGCTCTTTTGACCTATCAAAGCCAGCATGCTCTTTTGACCTATCAAACCCAGCATGCTCTTTTGACCTATCAAACCCAGCATGCTCTTTTGACCTATCAAACCCAGCATGCTCTTTTGACCTATCAAAGCCAGCATGCTCTTTTGACCTATCAAAGCCAGCATGCTCTTTTGACCTATCAAAGCCAGCATGCTCTTTTGACCTATCAAAGCCACCATGCTCTTTTGACCTATCAAAGCCAGCATGCTCTTTTGACCTATCAAAGCCAGCATGCTCTTTTGACCTATCAAAGCCAGCATGCTCTTTTGACCTATCAAAGCCAGCATGCTCTTTTGACCTATCAAAGCCAGCATGCTCTTTTGACCTATCAAAGCCAGCATGCTCTTTTGACCTATCAAAGCCAGCATGCTCTTTTGACCTATCAAAGCCAGCATGCTCTTTTGACCTATCAAAGCCAGCATGCTCTTTTGACCTATCAAAGCCAGCATGCTCTTTTGACCTATCAAAGCCAGCATGCTCTTTTGACCTATCAAAGCCAGCATGCTCTTTTGACCTATCAAAGCCAGCATGCTCTTTTGACCTATCAAAGCCAGCATGCTCTTTTGACCTATCAAAGCCAGCATGCTCTCTTGACCTATCAAAGCCACCATGCTCTTTGGACCTATCAAAGCCAGCATGCTCTTTTGACCTATCAAAGCCACCATGCTCTTTTGACCTATCAAAGCCAGCATGCTCTTTTGACCTATCAAAGCCACCATGCTCTTTTAACCCTGTCGGTTGGCGGATTGGTTTTGTTTGACGGCAGATACAGAAGCTCATGTTGCAGAGCACACACACAGTACATACATGTGAGAGGGCAGGGCATGGTGCACCAGTCATGACGCACATCACTCGCAGCACACGGACGGAGCACTCACGGCACAGAGAGCACTCAGAGCACTCACAGGCGAACAATGAAGCTCTGTGCGTCGACAGCAACAAAGCGCATGAGGGAGGAGATGGTCTCCGTTTGCCACTGCTCGTTGTCCCCCGTGCCCCACAGCACCTGCAACTGCTTCAACACTTGCGCTGCGAAAGCAACACGTTTGAAGCAAGAGACCACGTACAGGACAAGGGGATTCATACGAAGAATTTACATTCTTGTGGTCTCCTCTTTCTGTTAGGGTCTCGTC